GGACTCGTGGGAGACAACAGGATCAGCCGGCAGGTCGGGGCGGGGCGGCGGACCCGGGTCGGGGCATTTGAGAGGGGACTTCTGTCCTCTGTCCTGCCGGACTAATTCCCGGGGCTCATCCCATGAATAAGGACCGTCTGGACCGCGGCGGCCGGCGCCAGCCTCCGGCCTGTCACCACACTGGGCAATCAAACATTCTTGTGGAGCCGTGCCGTCCTCCGGCAGGCGGGCAGGCGATGCACCTCGTCCGTGTGTCCCTTCTGTCTGCTATCGGCATCCCTTTGTGCCGCGCGCGTCGCGCGTCGTGCGTGGGAGCGCTTCGTGTCGCCGCGTCGCCGCTCGCGTGTCACGCACGGGGCGGCGACGCTGGCCCGGCTAGGCCCGGCTAGGCCTCGACGCGAGGCGACGCGCGGCCGACACGACAGGTCGTTAGGCGATCGTGACGGAAGGCGGTGGACCTGGTGGAACCTGGTGGAACCAGACCACGACGCCGTCACGCTGCGTCGTCGTGCGAGGCGCCGCCGCCGCCTACTTGACCACCGCCGTCGTGACGTTTGTCCACACGCGTCAACACCACAGCGCCACCGCCACCGCGACGACTAGCGGCCAAACAACAACAACGGCGGCGCGGCGTGCCGCGAGCACCGCGGCTGAAAAAGCTAATCGAGTTGAGCGGCCCGGAGAGGTGCTGCTGCAGGGCCTCCAGGGAAGCCTCCAGGGAAGCCTCCAGGGAAGCCTCCAGGGAAGCCTCCAGGGCGGCGGGGCGCGTGCGCCGCGTTTTTCTGCCGCTGCAGGCCGCAGGCCCTGCAGGCCCTCGGAGTGGTCTAGTTGCCCTGATGATGATAGGCCGGCCGCCGCCTTTCAACGCGCCTGCCCTGCCTGTCCTCGCCGAGCTCACAAAGGGCCGCAACGCCACCACGCCAGCAGACTGAGAGTCGCTTTCTTCGCTCTGTCTCTCTCGCACTCATGGGGCGTCCCTCATCGGTGCGAGAGAGACAGAGCGACGAAACGACTCCCGGAATCCGCGAATCCTAGAGAAGAGGAGGAAGGGGCGGCGGATACCGGCCCGTCGAGCGGAGGGCCGCGCCGGGCGGCCTACCTCGCAGGCGTTCCGGCCGACGAGGAGGTGCTGGAGGAGCGCGTTCTACCAGGGATGCCCGAGGACGCCTGAGGCGATCATCGCCACGCAGGCCTAATCAGACAGCGGCCATGGCGGTGGAGAGACTCGCGGCCCGGTAAGGCACGGGGCGAGTCCGGGTCCCAGGTCCCAGGAGCCGGCCGCGAGGGAACGACGAAAAAGAAACACGTCGTCGCCAGCGGAAATTTCCCTACGCCGGCAGTGGCTTGGTCGCGCGGCGGCTCGCGCGAGCTTGGGGAAATAAAGACTCAAATAAGAGTCGCCTCGCGCGGGGGGAGCAGGGAGCAGTGTGGCGGCCCGAAGGCCCGAAGCCCCAAGACAGAGACGGGGCATTCTTCAACAAGTGGCGACCGTTTCTCGTCGCGGCGCGAAGAAGGACGACCTCCAGCGGGGCATTACGTCAGCGCAGCACGCCAATTACAAGGCCCGGGCCGCCAGCCACCGCCAGCCATCCGAACAGAGCTTTCGTCGCGCCGTCTCCCTCGCACTCACAGCGCGCCGCAGCGCCGCGGAGGGGCGCGAGAGAGACAGGGCGACGAAAGCGCCGTCGGGGAGCCCGCAGGCCCGCGGCCGGGCCGGCAGCGAGAGCGAGAGAGACCGCGCGGCGGAGGAAGGAAAAGGAAGTGACCTCAGAGACGGGCCGTTTCATTTGGAGACGGTGGCGGTCTACTTGTAGTGGCGTGGGAAGCGGCCGATTGACTATGCGTGCTCTACCATCCACCAGCAGCAGCACGGCGTGCCCGCAGTGGCGCGCCCGCCCAGCCCGCCCTGCTCTCTGCTCGGCCGGGCAGTGAATGAAAATGAATCGCTGCGGTGGCGCCCATTAGGCAGGGCAGGATCACTCACACTCTTCCTTTCTCACTCACACTCACACACACTGCGGCGGCGTGCATGCGACACTCGGGGCAGGAACGAGCTGTGCGAGTGGCGATGCGGCGGCGCCCCTGGCGGCCTGGCGGCCTGGCGGCGGGCCAAAGTTACACTTTTCGCAGTGCAGCACGCGGCACGCGGCAGCTTGTTTGACGTTTCCCCGCCATTGAACATTGAACGTCGCGCGGAACGCCCCGCGGCTCGCGTCGTCGCCAAGTGATGGCCCCGCCGAGCGCCGATACATCTCTCCCTGCCTTGGTGCGTGTGTGCGTGAGTGAGTGTGTGTGTGTGTGTGTGTTTCGCTCGACCCCCCCCCACCCCAAGGAAGGCCACGGGCTTGGAGTAGTTTTCGAAATGGCGTCCGCCCCGCCGCCCGCCGCATGTTGCAGTACGTCTCTTTATGCCTTTCCCCGTTTTTTTATCTCCCCTTTTTTGGAGAAACCTTTCACAAATCAGGCAGCCAAATAATTCACAGTGAACATTAATTGGTGGCGGGAATGCCTGGCCGGTGCGCGCCCCGCCCCGCCCCGCCCCGCCCCGCCCTGGCGAGCGGTCGAAACCTTCCAGCCACTTCGCTTTCGCACCGCGACCGGGGAATGCAGCCCCCCCCCCTCCCCCTTCAATCCCTTCCCTTCTGTCAACGAATGTTCGATAATAATTTTTGTTTCCAGCGCGCTATGCCACCTTTATTAACAGCTTGGCGGCGATTGCGCGAGGAGGCGGGGGGAGGGGGAGGGGGCTCGGAGGCCACACTGTCACGACCAGACGGACGCACATAATATGTGGACGGGCCTTTAAATTAAGCGCGCTAGACCGTCTTGTGGCGTGGCCCGGCGTGGCCATGCCTGCACTGTTTGAGCGGCACCACCGTCGCTCGTCTTATTTCAGTGACTTACGTAAAGCAGGGCGTGCTTGTGCTCGGCCGGCGCGGCGGCGCAGCGCGGGACATGCGAGCAACAGCGCTACGTTCCAGGGCTGGCCGGGCTGGCCGGGCTGGCCAACAGTGCTGCACGCCTGGCGTCAGTATTTATGGCCCAAGTTGGTAATTCTGGCTGCACACTGCACATCGAGCCCTGCTGCTCCCTCGGCGAGGACGAGAACCAGGCGAAGGCGAAGAAGGACGCGGAGGAGGACGGGCGGCGCAGCACGCCAAGCCCGACTGACCTCTACGCCGCTCCCCGGCGCGGGTGCGCGGATGCGGATCTAGCTGCGGCGGATGTCTCGTCTCTCTCACACTCGTGGGCCCTCCCGGTTAGGTGCGAGAGAGACAGCAACTGAACTCTGCCCGGCACCGGGGAAAGAGGGCAGGAGAGCCATCACCCTCGCCAAATGAACGGATGGCGACTTGACTCGAAGACACGGGCTTCCATGTCCTCCGGGGCGAGCCCTACCGGCCCGCGGCGTATTCGCGGCCGTGAGTCACTCGCGGCTCGGCGGCGGTAAAAATAAAAATAACCGAGGAGTGGTGATTGCTTGCGGTGTGGTGCGCCGCGGTCTGCCGGAGAGCACTGGAGGAGCCGCCGGCCGCCCTGGAGTCCGCGGGATCAATACTGCTGATCAGTATGGACTGATTCCGAGAGTCGTTTTCGTCGCTCTGTCTCTCTCGCACTCATGGGACGCGCCGTATAGGTGCGAGAGAGACAGAGCGACGAGAGCGACTCTCTGAATCAGTCTGCAGCGTCGATAAGCCGCCGAAGTTAGGGAAAGGCACGGCGGGAAAGGAAAAGGTTGGTGCGTTCTTGTTCTGGTGTGTTCCGCGCCAGGGCTGAGGGCTGCGCGGAAGCCTGGCTGCCAGATTGCGCAAAAACGTGAAATGCGGACAAATCTCGGCTTCTTTCGTCAGCGCCGGATCGGCTTGGCCCGGCTCGGGCCGTACGAGTTGAGACTCGTTCAGTCGGGGTCGGGGCGGTCCGCCGGGGGCCTCGCCGCTCGCCTCTCGCGGGGCCACGCCGCGGTGGCGGGGCGGCGGGGCCAGACACCGCGCGGCGTGGGACCGGCACGCCACTGCACGCCACAGCGATGCGGCGCGGGGCGCGGCGTCTCCCTCTTCGTCTCCGTGTGATACGCCGGTCTGGTCTTATCAAGGCTCAATTCAGCCGGCCGGCCGGCCGCGCCGCACCGTCCCACGATGGGGTGCTTGTCCTTGCGGCGGACCGATTCCGAGGGCCGTTTTCTTCGCTCTGTCTCTCTCGCACCCATACGGGAGGCCCAAAGAGCGTGAGAGAGACAGAGCGACGAAAACGACCCTCGGAATCGGTCTGCGGCAGGGCGGCGCGGTCGTTTCCACAACTCACCCCCGCCCCTGCAGGCCGTGTCGCAGCCACCCTCGGTCCAGCCGCCTCATTCCGAAGACCGCCTCGTCGCGCTGTCTCTCTCGCACCCCTCCGGGACGCCGCCAGGGTGCGACAGAGACAGAGCGATCCTTCGGAGTGACCCGGCTGCCGACCTTCTCCATGCGAATCACGGCCGTCAAATAAAGAACAAGCCGCCTCGTCTAGGCCCCTCGGCCGCTCGGCCCTCCACTTGAAGCTGCTGCCCCGCACAAATTTTTATTCCCCTGACCAGTCCCGGCACTGCACCGCAATGCCCTTGTCTTTATGGGCGAGTCGGCCCTGTGACTCATTTCGGTTCAAAGGGACCCCGCCCCCCGCCCCGCCCCGCCCCGCCGGCGTCCCGTCCCGGCGGCTCGCTTTTGGGGGTCACCGACGCCTTGCGACGCGAAGGCACGCCGTCGGCCCTGCCCCTTCCCCTCCCCTGGACTACAGCATCCTGCGCGTCGCGACGCTCGTCTCGGTCCTCTAGGGTCGAGTCTGGTGACGTCACAAAGCACACCCGAAGGAGTGACGTCACTTGGCGTTCCAGCAGCCAATGGTAGTGTTCCCCGATAATGAGTGTTCTGTCCATGGTGAAATCCCTGCGGATCTTTGACTCCGCGAAAGGCACTGCCTTCGGTTGCTTTCAGGATAAGGGTGGAAGTCGAAATTCAAAAACGTTTTTAAGGTTCACAGACAATGGTTTTTTATTGGAAGAAAAGAACAATTCATAATAGTATTCACAATATTTTCATTTATATACATCATCACTTTATAAATACATTATCTTACAAAAAGCTTTTCAGGGGGAGAGGGGCACATTTCTTAATATATTAACCATTTACATGTGTTTGGAAGCATAAACCTATTTATCTATCTATATATATATGTACATATAAGTATCTATACGCACATATATATAAGTATATACACATACATGAATGCTACCTTTCGTACAATTTGCTCAATTTGCATTAAGTACAAGGGCACAATTTTAGTGATGTGGGTGGAGCTATTATGCCTATCTCAAATCTCATCTATCACCAGACCTAAATACTAGTACAGTCAACTTATGGCAGTCAATGCAAGGAATCAAGTTTCTCAACATGTGAAAATTTAAAATACAAGTGTCAACAATAAGAACACCACCCTATCACAAGGGCGCCGGCCATCGCCGTTCCAGTGAAGGCGAATATGCAGTCCACTGCAACTGAGATGGGGACGCCATACATAAATTAAGGAGAGATCACAGTTGACTGTCGGCTTGTCAAAATTAAAATTCAACAATTTGAGCGTCAATGATCTATCGCAACCAAACACTGTAAACAAGGGGTTTGCCGCCATAATAGGAAATTACAATATTAAGTAAATGGGATATGAATTAACAACAGCGGGAGACAGTTCAGAAAAAGTGAAGTGTCTACTGCCATGGCAAAGGTAGGTCAAGTTGATGCCAAGAGACTCAAGTGGTAAACTGCGAGTTTCTCGATGTCAACTTTGACCATGTCAAAAAACAAATTGTAAGCAACAAGGAAACTGGTAAAAGATGCATTGAGGCAAAGCTAACAAGAAATATGGCAACATTCATGTTGCCCACCTACACCCCTTCCCCCCTGCCATATCACAACACTACAATGTTCGCAACCACCCACAAAATGACTTAGCTTCTCAATAAATAACAGGAACATGATATTTTGTTCAATCCCACATAATTTTCATTTCACATTGGTAGGCATTTAAGATAAATCTTAACATCTTTGTTTGTGTCTAAAATCCCCAAAATTTCATACCACTATCATATGACAGAATTACAAATTTTAACTGGCACAATTTGTCAAGCAAGTCACCAAAAATACATTATCAAAATGGCCATTTGTCAAACATTTTTCGTCAGTCATCAATGATTCAAAAATGAGACATTATTGTCAAAAAAAAAAAAAACAGAAAATGAAAACAAAAAAAATCTTAACAAAGTTCTCCCCTATAGACACGCACATATAATAATAATATATATGTATATATATAAATGTGTTATGTAAATATATATACATATATACCTGACTTAGTCTTGTTTCGAATTGATCACAATACACATGTATGCATGTACTCCACATACACTGTAGTTATTACTAAAATAGGGTGAACGGTCGGGGCGCGGGGCTGTGGTGGCCGTGAGGGCGGCCCTCGCCTCCCACCGCACCCCCACCCCCCTGTTCAGTCTCAACAATCTAAACCGGGGTGGAAAATGTCCCCACCCCGCCACGGCGGCGCCACCTTCATGTCCACCGCATGTACAAACAGTCACTCGCTGTAGACTGGACTAGCTTCAGCGGAGACCACGGCGACACCATAAGCGATAATAAATAACTGTACAGGTGCTCTTGGTTTGGTCAGCTGTCTCACACACACACACGCGCGCATCGCACACTCACTCACACATTCACGCATTCACAGTCCTAGGGGCTAGTGGGCTAGTGGCTACACTTGCGTGGCCAGCAGGCCGTCCGGGTGGTGCCTGTTTATCACGAACACGGACGACGCGCCGGACTTGGGGGGCGTCCCCGGCGTCGACGGCGTGCACGACGATGAGTAGCACGAGTCCTCCTTCTCCAGCGGTCGTTTCGACGGCGAGGTTTCACTGCAAACAAGCAAAGGGCGGACGTCAGTCTCGGGGCTCAAGGCGCGTCGGGGCGGGGCCAAACGGAACGGCCGAGAGGACAAGACACTCACCTCGCACTACATAGCGATGACCACTCGGAGGGCACCGCCGATATCCTCTTTGGTAGCTGCGGCGGCGTTACTTGGCACAGCGCGCTGCGCGGCCGGCCCTGCGGCGTCGACGACGGGTCCAGCTCCTTGTCCAGCTTGGCGATGGACGCGGAGAGCAGGGACGCCCTGGCCGTGTTGAGCTGCTTGTGCTGGAGCGTGTACACGGGCACCGCCACGGGCCCGCCCAGGTCCATCTGCTTGCTGCCGTAGCACAGGTCCACGGGGCTGGGGCTGTGCGCGTCCACCACGTCGGGGATGTCCCCGAGCACGTTGTTGACGCACTTGCTGCCCCACGAGTTCTTGATCATGTGCGCGTCGCCGTTGCCGCCGGGCCGCTGGTGCTTGATGCCCGTCTGGCAGGCGTTCACCTCGTTCTGCATGCGCGCCTCCTCGTCGGCGAGCTGCTGCTCCCGCTTGCGCCGCTGCTTGAGGCAGAACACCACGATGACGGCCACCACCACGAGGACGGGCACGGCCACGGAGAGCGTCACGATCATCACGACGTACTCCTCGCTCAGGCCGGCGGGCTGCTCCAGCGAGGCCACGTGGCGCGACACGTTGCCGCCGATGTTGACGGAGCCTCCCTCCTCGGAACAGGTGCGGCCGCCGAACCCGGGCGGGCAGCGGCAGTGGTAGTTGTTGATGCGGTTCTCGCAGGTGCCGCCGTTCTGGCACGGCGTCGACGCGCACTCGTCCACCTCCACGGAGCAGTCCTTGCCCGTGAAGCCGGGCCGGCAGTTGCAGCGGTAGTCGTTGATGAGGACGACGCACGAGCCGCCGTTGGAGCAGGGCTTGGCCAGGCAGTAGTCCACCTTGCTCTGGCAGAGCGACCCCACGTAGCCGGGCACGCACTGGCAGCGGAAGCGGTTCACCAGGTCCACGCAGGTGCCGCCGTTGAGGCAGGGGTCGTTGACGCAGTCGTCCACGTTCGTCTCGCACCGCTCACCGGAGAACCCCGGCGGGCAGTTGCACTCGAAGCCGTTGACGCGGTCCACGCAAGAGCCCCCGTTCTGGCAGGGGTTGGGCGCGCAGTCGTCCACTTGATGCTCGCAGTCCACGCCGCTGAAGCCGGGAGGGCAGCGGCAGGTGTAGCCGCCGGCGACGTCCTGGCAGGTGCCGCCGTGGCGGCAGGGATGGTCCTCGCAGGTCTGCGCCGACGTCTCGCAGTGGCGGCCGTGCCAGCCCTTGGGGCACTCGCAGCGAAAGCCCGCGCTCGCGCCCGCGTCCACGCACGACCCGCCGTTGCGGCACGGCGTGTGCGTGCAGTCGTCCAGCTCGCGCTCGCAGTCCGTGCCCGTGAAGCCGGGCGGGCACGAGCACGTGTACGAGCCCTGGCCGGTGTTGAAGCAGGTGCCGTTGTTGCGGCACGGCCGGTGGTTGGTGCAGTAGTTGAGGTCCTGGTTGCAGAACAGGCCGCCCCAGCCCTCGTCGCACAGGCAGTCCCAGGGCTTCTGGCACGTCCCGTGCAGGCAGCCGGGGTAGCGCTCGCACTCGTCGCACAGCGCGCCCTTCCATCCGGGGTGGCACCTACAAGCAAGCAAGCAAAAACACAACGCGTTAGTCACCCAATTCGCACATTGTCCTCGTGAGAACGGCGCGGGCGTGGCGGGCGTCGCGACGCCACAGTTCGCGGAACAAACGCCGGCAGACGCCACCCACGAGCCGAGACGCCGAGACCCAAGGGCCATGCAGCAGAGCGAGCGGGCAGAGCGCCGCGCGGCAGCCAACCAGCAGCCCCACTCCCATCCACTCCCGTCCCCCGGGGCCGGGCGGCCAGGCCGCAGGCCGGACGGGACGCTGCCCCGCGATATCTTGGCCCCCGGTCGCGAACAAGACCGGGAGGAGGGGGAGGGGGAAATCTGCTTCATCCCGTCGCGTCCCACGCCGCGCTGCTCATACACCTGCAGCGGCAGGGAGGGGCCTAAGCACCAGTGCAGTGCCGTGCAGAGTGAGAGAGAAAGAGAGAGGGTCCCCCTGGTGGGGGCCTCAGGCCGGCGGGGCGGGGGCCGCTGCGGCCGGGGAGGGAGAGAGAGGGGGGCGGCCCGTCCCGCAGCCACGTTCCCACGGCTCGGGCGGGCGCTGCGCTGCGCCGGGCTGCGCCGGGCAGGGCAGGGGCGTAGCGTGGCCAGGCGCAGCGGCGGCAGCAGCGCCTTGGAGGAATGCGCACACCGGGTCAACTGGCACGCCAGTCAGCTGTGACTGAGCTCCCTGTGTCTGCCCGCGGAGTCCGTCGGCGCCGGGGACAAAACCACGCGGCCGCGGCGGGGAGTCGAACCTAGTCTATCCGCACGTCCAAAAGGCCTCGCCGGTTTCCGGCCGGGCTCCACCGTCCGCCGGCTGGCTGGAGGGGGAAGCCGTGCGCAGAATCAGCGATCAGCGTCCGCCCCCTCCCACAAGCGTGTCACGCTCGCGACGACGGCGTGGCGGCGTGGCGCCCCCTGGCCGGCCTGACCCCCGCACCGCGCCGTCCTCGCCACCAGCTCACCGCGAGCCTCGCGCCCGCCAGGCCCGCCACCCCCCCGCGTCACCGTGTGGCCCGTGTGGTCGACACGCTGACCCGGCGCGCGGCGCGCCCGAAGGGCCCGGCGCCGCGACCACAGCGCCGCACTACAAACACGCCAGCACCTTCCCTTCGACATCCGAACCGGATACTTACTTGCACTCGAAGGGCGAGCTGCAGTAGCCGTGGGTCTCGTCACAGCCGGGAGCGCACACCGCTGCAACAAACGAGAAGGCACAAAGTCAGTCGAGAAACAGGAGTGAAAACATTTTCCTCGCGGTAATACAGTAATGACACGTTCTCGGAATCACGAGGGGAAAGGGAGGGGGGGGGGGAAGCGTGCGGCGGAGAGGGGACGGGCGGGACGGACGGCAGCGGACGGCGGCAAGACGAAGACAGGCGGCGCTTCAAATTGAATGAGAACATTAGGCCGCGCCGAGTCGTCGAGTCGTCCAGCCAGTCGCCCGGGGCTAGACAGGGCCACTTCGGTACCGAGCGCGGCCCGAGCGGGGCCCGAGCGCGGCGGCAGCAAATTAGTTCATTTTGTAGCGCTGCAGCGCTGCCCTGCCCGCCTCGCACCGAGGTGACAATCAATTCGGCCCCCGGGGAAAAGAAAGGGGGGGGGGGGGAAGCAAGATGCACCGTGTGCCAGCGAGCGGCCGACCGACCGGGAATCGCAACGAGGAAAAAGTTGCTGCAGACTTGAGAGTCGTTCTCGTCACTCTGTCTCTCTCGCACCTGAACGGAACGCTCCAAGAGTCCCATGCGTGCGAGAGAGACAGAGCGACGCCGGAGAGGGGTGGCACGGTGGCACATGCCGCGCGGCGCAGGCAAGACGCAGGCAAGGCGCAAGCCAGGCCCCTCACACACACACACGCCGGAAGTAGCGCCGTCCGCCGTAAGCACCCACTTCCGATGCGACACACCGCCAAACAAAAATGTCGAAAAAACACAAAAATCGACATCCTCTCGGCTTGCCGAAAGGGTAAGCCGTCCCTGGCAGAGAGCAGCGGCAGCATCGGCGAGTGCACTCGCAGTGCTTGCACGGCGCGCCGCCGCGCCGGGTAGCTTTGGGTCGGGTCGAGTCCAGAGAGAGGAGGATCCTCACATTCCACAGTATGCACTGCCACGGCGCGGCGCGGTACGGCGCATTGCAAGCGGTCGACACACACACACACACACTCACACTCGCGCACGCCGAGTTGCAGTGGCGGCGGTCAAGCCCATCGAGTCCGTCGGCATGCACCGGCCGCGCCGCCACCGCCCCACTTCCCGAAACGCGTCCAAAGTTCATTTCCCCATCCTGGATCCAGGGGGCAGTGCGGCCGGTAAGCCAAGCGAGCGCGGCGAGCGCGGCCAAGCGGTGCGGCCGGCAATCGCACTGGGGCTCTACTCTAATGGTTTTACGAATGGCATGGCGTCGGTGCGTCGCGCCGCGTCGCGCCTCCCCGCTCGGCTCGGCTCCCGGCCGGCCCACCCCAGCACGGCCCGGCCCGGCCGCTCCGCTCGGCTCGCCGCTTCCTTCAATAGTAATTATCGCGCGCGCGGCTGCGCGGCTAGCCAGTCCGCTAGCACCACCTTTTGCCCGGCTTGCAACCAAAAATTAATAACCATGATTATTCTGTCTCCCTTCCTCCCTCGCCTTCCGTCGCTCTCGCGGCGCGGCGCGGGCCATTGTTCGCGCCGGCGGGGACCGCGCACCGCGCCGCGGTTCCGAGAGTCGTCTCTCTCTCGCACTCGCGGGGCGTCCCATGTGGGTGCGAGAGAGACAGAGCGACGAAAACGACTCTCGGAATCAGCCTGCAGGTCCAGGTCCAGGGCGTCCGCTGCCCCCGCCGCGCCGCCCGGCCGACGAGCGTCGCCAAACCCTTGGGTCCCTCGGCCGTCAATGAAAAACGAAAAGGCATCGCGATCCGGGAATTCTAACCTAATGACAAGCACGGACCATTTGTCCGTCAGCGCGACCAGAGGCCCCACGGCCCCCTCGAAAAGAAGCCAAAAAAGGCCGCCCTCCGCCTGTGCGGCCGCAAAATTTCACACAAAAAGACATAAAATAAACAAAACGCGCGAATGTGCGTGTGTCCCGGCCGGCCGGCCCAGCGCGCTCAATGCATTTTCAAAATGCCGCGCCCGATGCCCAGACGCTTTTTTGATTGCCAAAATGAAGAAAAACGAGGACGGGCCGCCGCGACGTCGCGATACAGTGGCGGGGGCAGAAATGAGCCAACGCGTGCGACGCGGTGCGAGACGGAAAGAGACAAAAGTCGGAATGGCAAACGGCCCGATCGCACATCGCGCCCGTCCATGCGGAAAAAAAGGAAAAAACGGCAAGGTCCAAAGACGCGAGCATTATAATTTATACCAGCTTCTGCCCCCAAACGCGTGTCGTTCATCGGTATGCGCGTGTGTGAGTGCGTGCGTGTGCGAGTGTGTGTGTGCGAGGTAGCAGTGTGAGTGGAAGCGTTCCGTGATCAAGCCAAGGCAAGCGTGGGAAGCCAGACTAGCCTGGGAAACGGCGTCTCGTCCAGACGGGACGAAGTGGGGGGAGGCGGAGGGGCCGACGAACAGGGAGAGGGGGGAGGCGCAGAGAGAGACAACTTCACCTGCCTCTCCTCCCTACCTTGGCCTCCACACGTTACTGCCCGGACTCACGGCAGCCGCCGCGGCAGCACCGCCAGCACGGCCAGCGCGCAGCGCGGACGAGGAGGAGAAAGGCAACAAAGAAGAAGCTAAACGGGAGGGCGGGGCGGGGCGGGGCGGGCGGGCCCACAGGGAGCTAAACGCCTTATTTTAAGGCAGGCACACATACCCATCACGGTATTTAATGCCGTGCCACGCCGAGCAGCGCGGGGCCCATGCAGGCCCTGGCCCTCGCCCTGGCCGAGGCCGTGCAGGGCCACGCGGCGCCCCACCGCCCGGCGATTGCACCTCCACGACGACGAGACGACAAGCAAAGCTCGTCGAAATTGCCGCCACTCGGAAGCGCCGACTGCCTGCCCAGCCCGGCCGGCCGGCCTGCCTCCCCGAAATTGACCAATTACGCACACTGCAGCTGCAGCACTGTGGCCACCTCGGGCACCTCGGGCACCTTAGGTCCACGCCGCCGCGGCCGTCGCGTCGCGAGAAGGTGAAGGAGGTCCTGTATGGTACTCACGTTTGGTGCAGTAGTCGCCCTGCCAGCCCTCGTTGCAGACGGGCTTGCCGGCGGCCGAGCAGGTGTAGTGGCCGAAGGCGTCGTCCCGCGACCGGCAGAAGTTGGCGCAGCCCGCGCCGAAGTAGTGCGCGTCGCAGGTGACGCGGAACTCGTACAGCAGCGCCGCGTTGGGCGTCAGGTGCTCGGCGGGCGTCCAGCCGGCGCCCACGTCCAGCCAGCGCTGCGTCGTCACCCGCACGATGAGCGTCTTGGAGTTGCCTGCGAACCAAAAGCGCCCCGACGATATAGCATTTCATTGCCGGCATTGCCCACAGCACAGTGCACGGCGCATTCCCACAATCTCAAATCAATTCCCTTTCCGCCCGCCCCGCCCCGCCCCGCCCCCCTCGCCGAGGCCAAGGGCCTGCTGCTCTTCCTCTCCTCCCCTTCTCTCTCGCGCGCTGCCGCGGCCCAGCGTTGCCAACCTGCTCGGCTAAATACCGACGCGGCCAGAGCACGGCCTGACCATGCACGCCCGCCGCGCCGCCGCCATGACCCCCAGCCCCGCGGACGCCGCGACGCCACCCCGGCCGAACACGCTGCCCAGTGGGCCCGCGCGGCACGCGTACACTGTAAGGCCCAGCGCCCCGCGCACGCACGCCGCACAGGGCTCTGCAGGGACGGCGGCCTAATTACCAGCGGGAACAAAACGTAACGGCGCTGGGAACAAGACGGATGGACGGCCGGCAGGGCGCGCACAGCGCTCGCAGACGGCCCCGACGGCCCCGACGGACCCCCGGACAGACAAAAGCCTTCAGTTCCGCACACACGCTGCAGTCGCTGCTGCACTGCCGTGTATAATACCTTCAATATGTTGACCGAGGCCCCCCGCCCCCCTCCACCTGCTCCCTCCAAAGTGCAGCACTGACCACAGCGATGGCTCGCGCTTGGCTTGGGTCGTTGGGTCACTCACCTGCCGATCTCGAGGTCGAGTTGGTGTCATGCCAGGCTTCCACAACCAGGGAGAAGGTACCCTGCAAACAGAAAGACAGACAAAACGGTCAGTCATGTGAGGCGCAAAAGCAGAAAACAGTCCGTCGAGCGATGGTCATGCACGGCGCGAAAATGGGGCGGCAAAAGCACCGAGAGTGCAGTGCAGCGCCTCGTCGTACCGCAAAGCCTTTAATTGAAACCGCGATGTAAAGACAAAAGCACTGCGACGCCCATATGAATAACGGCCAAAAACAACAACAAAAACAACAGCAACAAAACAGCCGCTACCCTTCTTCACACTTTCTTACTGCCCTCCCCCTCCCTCTCCTGCCATTCTAATCTCCCCCCCCCTTCCCCCATTGCAATTTCCAGCCCCCCCCCGCCGATCTACCTCCACCGCACTTAAAAAAACGGCCAAGTCGGCGGCCCGTAAAAGTCGGGGAGACTGACTGACAGTCACTGCGAGGCGGCATCGCGCATCGCGCTGCTGCACCAGTGCTGCACCGCGGCGGCGGCGGTTCGAACAATGTGCCACAAAGAGAGAGACGGCAACACACTGGCCTACCTCCTCGCCACTCCCTCCCTCCGTCCCAAACGCCGCCTCTCACTCACTCACACACACACTCGCAGGCCGACAGATCGGCCCCGCCAGGACCAAAACGCCGCGCCGACCGGAAGCTCCTGCTGCTGCTGCACTGTTACAGTGCCGCAGGGAAGTCAAGTGCACGCGGCCCAGGCGCATGGCGCGACGTTCAAAAGAGGGGCTAAAATGTGGGCGCTCGAGTGGGCGTGTGTGGTCTGGCCAGCCTCAGCAGTGGCGTGGCGAGGCACCCAGATTGTAAAGCCCCCCAATATATTGATGATGAGCCCTATTGCCGGCCTGCCAGTGGCCTGGCAGTGGCCTGCCCGTCCGCCTGCCCCGAGGTGCTGCCACCACCGCGCCGTGCCGTGCCGCGCCGCCTCCCAATTCACTCCTCTCACGGTCTGGAGCCCGGCAATAAAAAAGGAAAGGCACAAACAACGAGGAGAAAGAGAAGTAAAAGGGAAGGAAGGGGATAACAACAAAATCGAGACGCGCGGCCGGCGGCAGTGCCGCGCACCTATTACTCAATGGAAGAAAGCGTCACCATGGCAACCCCACAGACACACACGCTCACCGCCCCCTCTAATCGCCGTGATATACTCGGCCGCCACCGCCGCCCAAATATTTCGGCTCCTAATGAGCCGCTCACGGGGCGCGGTGCCAAAAACCACACACACACGAACACACACACACACAGATCAACGCGCGCGCCCCCCGCAAAGTCGGCGACCGCCGCCGCAGGCCACGGGCAAGCCACGGGCAAGCCGGGGGCGACCGCGGCGCACAGTGGGCCAGAAGACTGGTGGAAGTGGCCAAAACTCAAGACGCGTTTTGAGCTCCAGAGTCGCTATATGGGCCTCGAACCTCGCGTGTGACCCCACCCACCAATGGATTGCTCTCCAAACGAGGAATCCATTGGTGGGGTCACACGTTTGGTTCGAGTCCCATTTGGCGACTCTAAAGCTCAAAACACGTCTAAAATTTTGGCCACCTCCACCGGTCTTCTGGCCCACTGTGCGGCGTCGACGTCGTGAAGGCGCGCGGCGTGGGGACGGCCGGCCGGCGCGGGACGCGGGCCCTGCAGCGGGCGGGCCTAAGTAAGAGACGTAAGACACAAAGAAGATAATCATCGTCCGGGCATACGGCACGCCGCAGCGCGCCGCAGTCCCAGTCCCCGAGGCCGGTCGGCCCGGCGCGGCGCAGCCCGGCCGGCCTCCCACACTACCGCTTCCTTGGCGGGGAGGGGGGCAGGCGGGGCGGGGGTCAAGGGTTGTGGAGAGTGAATCATCATCATGGGGACCCACACACTCTGCTTGCACACCGCGTACATACTAACCCAGGAGGACACCAAAGATGGCCGAAAAAAAATAAAGACACGACAAAAATAATGCCCCCCCTCCTCCTCGCCCCGGCCCCGTCGCGACAAACTGGAACTGTACTCCTGCGCGGCGTACATACTTGGAATAAAACGACTTTGAATGCGAATGCGAATATAATGCCGCCAGTGCAACTTTTCATTCATAAGGCAAGGCGCGCGCGCCGGCCGGGCCGCCGGGACGTCTGCCTCGCCGTCGTCCTCCTGCATAGGACGACGACGAAGACGACGTCTCGCGTCTGGAATAGCCAACGAGACCGACAAGAAAACTTTTTATAATTAGAAAAAAAAATCAAAAAAATGAGGGAAGAAAAGTCGCCAGCGCACGCAAGAAGACGACGGCACATCGGCTGGCTCGTAATAAAATAACAGCAGATAATTGGCGAACGGACCGCATGCCGAGTGGTTCGTCATAAAAGAGCGCGAGAGCAGCAAAGCAGTGCGTGGCGGGGGTCCCTGCGGCACGGCGCGCCACGGCTCGCCACGGCCTGGCGACAGGTACGAATCATCTCCCACCTCAAAACCGGAATTTACGACCCAGAGCCGGGGCGGGCGACGGCCACCGCCGGAGTCGGCGGGGGTCTATGATGAGCACGACGAGGAGGAGGTGGAGGAGCGCCGAGTCCTCCACGACGAGGACCCTGCGACGGGGGTGTCGTCGTCGGCGTCCTGGCCGTCCTGGCCCGGGTGGCGGTGGCGGTCAGACCCGCCAGCCGGTCCCACGCCCGCCGAGGAAAAGGGAAAGGGAGAAGGAACGGGGCGGGCGGAAGAAACAAACAAAAACAAAAATAATAAAAAGGAAGAGCAGCAACGCAGCAAGAGCAAAACCAGCGGGCGCGCGGCACGCCAAAAGGCAGGCCAAAAGGCAAGGCAGACCGTCTGATGCCGGCAATGCCGTGGCAATGCCGGCTCGCTGGCCGAGGTTCCCTCGCTGGGTCCGCAATCCGGTCGGTCCGGGACGGTCCGGGAGGAAGCGGACAAGGAGCACCGGGGCCTGCCGGCCTGCCAGGGCGACAAGGGCGGGGGTGGCGGGCCGCAGTAGAACAAGGCCACTACACCGGAAGCAGCAACCAGCCCCTCGAGCCGCACCAGCCCCACCTGCGGCCTGCAGACTCATTCCGTCTCTCTCGCACTCACAGGGCGTCTCGTAACGGGTGCGAGAGAGACAGAGCACCGCGCACAGACGACACCGCGCAGCCTAGGCCGCCGATCCGCTACGCCTGGGCCTGGGAAATCGGGCACCGGGCGCACGCACACACACGCAAATGCACACACGAGCACCCTACGCAGAAGCACACAGGTGTTCCCCCGCCCCCTCCGAATCTCCCTTTTTTCCTCGACCTGCTGGGCCTGAGAAGAAGAGGCTCCACGGCACTGCAAGGCCCCCCTCCCTTCTTGACAAAAAGGCGCAAGTGAGGGAAAGAGATAAAAGCATGCGGGTGGAGAGTGTAAGACTGAGAGGGGGAACGAGGGAGGGCGTCGACCGGTTCTCAGCAGCGCAGCACACACGGCAGTACATGAGTACACACACACTCACACACGGACGCGTATGCAACCGACAAAACCCTTTTTTCTGCCTCGGCTCCGCGACGGACGGTTACACACACACTCGCGCACGGCGGCGGTGGTCACCCGTCAAGTCAATTTCATTTCCAGGCGGCCCCAAAGTGCGCGGCGCGCGGCGAGCCTTGCCGTGCCGGACGGGCAGACTGACGGCGCAACGAAACGCAACAATGTGCAGCACTCGACGGCGAAGCGGCGAGGCAACCGAGGGACGGCACCTTGACGGCCGCCACGGCCGCCCCGCGGCCTCCCCCTCCGCCACCCCTCGCCGCGCCGTACCAAGCACCGGCGCTTCCGACCACATTTCATTTTTAGGGGACACAAAACTGCGCCGCCGCCGAGCGCGGGGCAAAGGCAAGGGGAGGGGTGGGGGGAGGGGCCCGGGGCCGACCAGAGGGGAGTGAACGACGATCACTTCCCCTGCGCGACAGGCGACGTTGACACACACACACACACACAGAACCGGATACTAGACAACAAATACGATCGACGACGAAAACGCGACTCTGCTCCAAAAACAGGTCTGCTTCGCTCCAGTTCAGTCTGTACGAACTACACAAGTTCGTTTTTCATAAACAGTGGTGCGACCGCCTCCCCCGCCGCACCTTCCCGTTATTAATCAAAAAGGGCCCCGCGGGGCGACGAGCCCCGACGCCGCGGCGGCGCGGCACCGCAAAAAAAGGGTTAAAACGGTGCCGGCGACGTAACGAGCGTGAAGTCCGAGGACTATTGAGCGGAAAATGGCCGGGCCGACGCGCCACCGTAAAAAAGAGCGGCCTGCAAGTCAAGCGAGAAGGGCCTGGAAGCCTGGAGGGACGACGACGCGGTCCTCGGACTCCAAGCACGGGGCGCCCGCTTGCAGCTCGCGCCCGATGAAGACGGCCACTGCCCACCGCGGCACGCACTCTTCTTTTTTTTCGCCGTGCCTCCACTTTTTTCCCAGTGGGGCCTGGGACTGGGCTAACTAAGGGGCTCATGATAATGGGGCACAAGCCGTCATGCGCCGCAGCTGTCATGGCACCACGGCGACGACGACGACCCCGTCCCCCCGCCGGGCCGCCGGGCAGACGGGCAGCACACACACGCGCGCGGACAACCGCGCCGGCGCGAGGTGTCACAGGTACACGCACACAGACACACACGCAGCGCGGTGGTCGGCCCAGATGACCCGCATGGCCGCGTGGCGCGAGCCAGGCAGCCATCAGCGACGCCATCGTGTGGGCCTCACAGTGCCACATGCACGTGTGCAGGCCGAGCGGGCCGGGCGGGCCGGGCAGGCCGCGCATGTGTGAGTGAGTGTCATGTGTGCAGGCCGGAGGGCCCGAGGGTTGGGCAGGTCCACTTCCGCTAGGTCGCGCCCCCCTCCACTGTAACTTCCTCTCCGCGTAACTCCGGATGCCCCCGTTTCTTTGCACAAACCCCCGACACTCCTCTCGCTTTCGCAAAGTGATGAATGAGCGACAGACTTAGACGAGTGGAAAGAAAGAGAGAGATAGAGGAAGAAAAACTCGAAATTTAGGGAGGCCTCCGATCGGCGCTCTCTCCGTACGGCGCGCGAAAGCCCATCGCATTTCCCGGATTTCGGCTTTCGGTCCAGCCGTGTTGGACCGATGCGAATGCACATTAGCAACAAGGTCGCCCATTGTGTGACCCCGGAGGCTCCAGAGCAGAAGGCGAAGAAGAAGCAGGAGGAAGAGCGGGCGAAGGACTCCTGGAGAAAGGGGGGGGGGGGGACGGGGCAGCGGGTGCATGACCTCAAGCTGCATGCCCTGCCAGGGCCCTGCCCGCCTCGCTGCCTCAATGTGTGCAAAGGTGGTTCGGCCTGCCGAGATACAACAATGGCCAAGGAGGACGCCGTCGGGGCAGACGAGGACGAGGGGGATGACTAAACATGTGTGTCCGTGCCTTCGGGCCGCACAGCCCCGCACAGCCCGGCACAGCCGTACCGTGCAAATTTTTAAAACGCCGCGCCTGCAGTCGGCAGTGATGCCGCCAGGGCCGCACCATGTCCGATGCCCAGAAAATCTCTCCGTACATAATCTCAAAAAATAAACCGTTCGCGACGCACGCCGCCGTCGGCAGCTGCACGGCGCGCAGTCAAAGGGTGACAGCCCTCCTCCCGGAGAAAATAGAAATGCATTAAAAATGCCGCCCCTCGGCAGCGCAACCGAGAGGGAGAGAGAGGGAGGAAAAAAAAGCAAGCGAAACTTACCGGCCAAGTGAAGTCGAAGGGGAATCTGATGGGGTTGTTGAAGCCGTCGACGGCCGCCGCCGCGCCCGAGTCCAGCTGCAGCGAGTTGTCGCCGAGCACGGGCGTGACCACGTCGCCGAAGGTGCAGGGGCTGGTGGTGTCGACGCGCTGCTGGTAGTGCTTGAGGCACACGCGGAAGCGTGTCCGGCACGGCGCCGTACACGTCTCCGTCGTCTCCCCGGAGCAGCAGAGCCCCACCGCATCCTTGCCGTAGTCGTTGATGAAGGACTTGAGCCGGAGCTCGAACACGCCAGACGCCGACACCTGCAGCAGCACCAAGGGCAAACACTCACACACGCGTCCTACGGCGTCCTACGCGGACAAACACACCCACCCACAACCGCGCCGTGTCCGTGCCCGCGCTGTACGCCACGCCATGCCGTGCCCCTCGCGCGTCGCGTCGCCAAGTTATTGACAGCCCCCCCCCCCCCTCCCTCCGGCCAGCGACAGCCGTCGCCGAGTGTCGTTGGAATGACGGAACCACCATAAACTGAAAATAAACGAAAGACCCTCGGAGCCGCGTAGCCGCGCGCACGGAGTGCACGGAGCCCCTGGGGACACATGTCCAGCACATGGCTTGGCTTTGACCAGCGCTCGGCTTAGCTCCGCGCGCGCGCGTGCACAGTCCCAATAAAATACCCCGGCTTCGGCTTCCCCCACCCCACCCCTCGCGCGCCGCCCACGCACGGCGAAACTGTGTCACATCTGCCGCTCTGCCGCGGGCCGGGCACCGAGTCTGTCGCCCTGTCAAACCCTTTCCCCCGAGACGGCGCCACCGAGCCTCCCTTCGCGGCACCGCGACGGCCTCGGAGACTGCCCCTGCCGCTCCGGGCCGCGGTACAGTACAGTCCGCCACAGAACCGCGCCCTCTTAGGCGGTCCACGCGTAGCAAGCTTTGCACTGCACGCCGGGCACGTACGCCTTAGCGCCGCCTAACTTCGACCCCGCTGCCACACTCGACAGCTTTTGGCCGTGCCTGTACCGGCCAGCTGCGGAAAGCACGCACGCACTGCGGACACTATTGACCAACAGCGCGCGCGGGTCGCCACCGTCGCCATGGTCACCTAGGCACACCGCTGCGTCAGCAGAGCCCTGCAGCAGACACAATACACGAGGGCTGCTGCAAGGAGACATTCTCCAAGACGCGGGGCAGCAGAGCAGCGGAGCACCAGGAGGAGGGAGGAGGAGGAGGGAGAGAAGAACTGACGGTGAGCACACACACACACACACACACTCGCGCACACAGCCCGGGGGCAGCCCCGCCTAGGTAGCCGAGGTAACCTAGGTAAGGGAAGAAGGCAGTGGCCATTCAGCCAAGCACCTATGCCTGAGATGCCTGCACCCCCTCCCTCCACGACCTCCAAACGGACAAAGACGCGACCCTGCTCCCTCCCCCCCCCGCCTCCTCCCCGCCGCTCTCTGGAGCCGGACAGGAGTCCCTGGGAATGCAACAGCTGCACACGCGAGCGGGGCGGGGCGGGGCGGGGCGGGGCGGGGCGGCCTGGACGGCAGGGCTACCGCTGGCTGCTGGCTGGCTGGCCCGAATCATCATCTGATCGCCACGGCTCCATCAGCAAAGCAGCAGCCGAGCGCGCACACTGCAGCAGCGCAGCAGCGCTCAGCCCCGAGGCCAAGCAAGGCCTGGCCGTCAACGGCTGCCCCGAGTGCCACGCGGAGCCGCGCCGCCCTTGTTTACCTGGCCGGGCTGTGCCGGGCTCGACGGCGCCGTCATCTGCCGGCCCGCGACTTATCATTAGTGCCCATCTGCGAGCATCTGCGAGCAGCGCGCCGGGACGTACGGACTGCCCCCGCCCAAGCTGAAGCCGCTAACGCTAAACGGGGTGCCGTAACCCCGCCAGCGCGCCCAGCGCGCCCTGCCCCTTTGGCCGCGCAGCCGCGCCGTCCGAGACGGTAGCGTTCCAGACAGGAAATTGCTGCCCCCCGGTCACCGTGTGTTCACGTCTAACAAGACGCCGCCGCCGTCGGCGCCCTGAGGGCCTAAAGGAAGCTCCGGCCGCCGCGGCCGGTGGCGGGGAGGGGCGGGCGGGCGGGGCGGGGCGGGGCGTCCGCGCGCCGCCCCGGGCGGAAAAAAAGTGGCGGTCGGTGCCGGTCGGCAGCGCCCTAGAAGCCGGCCAGCCAGCAGGCATGCACCAATTAGAGGCGGTAATCCCTGAGCCAGGAAGGAGGATATCGCCCTGCTGCGCGCTGCACCAGTACCGCACCGCTCTGTCTCTCTCGCACTCACAGGGCGTTCCGTAAGGCTGCGAGAGAGACAGAGCGACGAGAAGATCCTGCGGAATCGCCTGGCAGGCCAGCACAGCGCCGGTTTGGCCGACTTTGAGCATTTTTCCGCGCGGGGCGTGGCGTGGCGTGGCGTGGCGTGGCGGCTCCTTTGTGAGGCCCAGCCGTTCCCCCGGGGGCATGCATCTGCAGTCTGCACTCGGTAGCGAGGGAAAAAATTAAAAGCCAAGCAAGCCGCGAGGCCGCGAGGCAGAGGCAAAACTTTACTCAGAAGCGAGAGTGACACTGGAGGGGGAGGGGGAGCGCGAGGCAACGAGTAATGACGGAAAGGAATGGAAGCTGACCAGTCTTTACAGTGTCTACTCGGCGGGCTGCAGACCGATTCCGCGCACAGCGTTCCGCCGTCGCTCTGTCTCTCTCGCGCTTGAGCGGGACGTCCGCGGGTGCGAGAGAGACAGAGCCACGCGCTCTGCTGGCTGTCGCTGCAACGGCGCTCGTAATCAAGCACGCCGCCGCCGCCGCCGACTCGACCCCGTCGGGCCGACAGTGCTCGACCGGCAACTAAAACCACAAGACCGGCTTCAAAACCACCAGACCGCATTACCGATGCAGCGGCCAATTTGAAAAATCATTCCGATATTACCAATACGGGCTTTGCTTTGGTCAGTCTTCCTCTTTTTTTGACGGCACCGCGACCAGATCACGTACGAGCCACGCCACGGGATAGCGCTGGCGCTGCCGCCGCGCTTCGGGCGCGCTGCAACGGATCGAAAGCACATCAAGCGCCGCCACGCCAGGGCAGGGCAATCGCTCTCGGCACTGCTCGCCCATTCAGAGGCGGCAAGGGCCGTCGATTCAATAAGACAAGTGCCTCATGGAAAAACGACATGTTTTCCGTCGGGCTTTCAGGCGCGGCTCGCTTCAGCAGACTAAGTATAGACCGCTCCGCTTTCATTCAAAGTGCGTTTGCGTTTCCACAGTGCAGACGCGGTCGGTGCTCGCGGTGGAGACGGCCGCCCTTCCATTCACGACGGCCTGCCTTCCCTTTCCTGCACCGACTCCTGCCGCGCGTCCTCCGCCCTCTGAACCCGAAACGCGAAGCCGGCGGCGTCCCCTCAGCTGCGCCGCGCGGTGGCGTCCGAACCGGGGGAGGGCGGCGACGCCTGTCTCGGACGACGCCGCCGCCCTCGCGCCAGTGCAGGGCGCGCAGCGATCACAGCCCGTCCGTTTCGTCGCGTTACGACTGTCAACGCCATCCGCGCCACGCGGCAGCGCGCCAGTCGGCGCCACCATAAACAAGGCCGCCGACGAGGCGAGCACCTTCCCGTCATAACGACGACACACTTTTTACTATCCCGGCGGCCGGTGCGTTTCGGACGCGGCCAGCGGGAGAAATGCATCATGTGCGCGTGTAAGTGTGCAGTGCAGGCCGCGCAGGCAGCGCGCGGACGAGGACGCCGAGGACGAGACGGGCGAGGGGAGCAGCCAGCCAATGACGTCGCGGCGCGGTGCCGGTGGCGGCGCGGCGGCGACGGACGAGGGGGGAGATCAAGAAGCACGATGGCGTCGCGTAGCGCGTAGCACGGCGTCGCGGTGCCTGTGCCCGCCGCGGCGTGGCGGAGCGTGGCGAGCCGCTCCGGGTGCAGCAAACCGCCAAACCGAGCCGAGCGGCCTGCGGCAGGCCGGCAAGGTCCCCGTCGACGACTCGGCGACTCGCCCTCGCCGCGCACCGCCACTGACGGCCGAAAGGGCCGCCGGCCAAACGAAAACACCAGCCGGCGGGCGGCCTCCGGCATGCCTCCGGGGATGACCCATGAGTGCGACAGAGACGCACCCACGAACCGCCCAGCAGGCCGCCGAGGCGGCGAGCGTGACAGATGGACTCGGCGGATTCATTCTGCTGCCGCTACGAAAACTGAGTCCTTGGCGGCGGGGCCGGCGGCTCTCCTATCCGATACCCTGACGTCAGCGGGCGGACTGACCAACACGGCACGACGACAATGACCCCGGTGAGAACCCACGACACGACGGACACGGCGGACACGGCACGGCGTCACAGACACGGCCCGGGCCGCAGCGGCACAGCACTGACAGCACGCCGACCACGCCGGCAGTGACAGTCCGCTCACTCACCAGCTGGAGGGAGGCGAGGATGATGAGAAATCCAAAGGTAATCCACATCTTGCCGAGTGAAGGGAAGCACATTTTGGCTGATTTTGAGATTTAAACGGATTTAATTCACCGGCACATCATCACTGTATTCCACTCGGGCGGCGGGCGGTGGCGGTAGGGTATCCACTGGGCATCAACAACGATTCATGTTGCGATGTCTTTTCACTTTGCCACACCAGAGCACCAAGAAGCACAACACTGTATCACTTTAATCCAAGGCGAGGAAGGCTGATGAACGGTGCACAATTCACACAGACACACACACTTCACTGGCACACACACACACAAGCACTGATGAGGGCGTCGAAGTCGGGCGATAATCCAAATCCACGAGACCACAACAACAACACAGGGCGGGAGAAGAGAATCGACTAAAATGGCAATGGTAAATAACCTAACGTTTTATAAAACCAAAACACTGGGTTATCAAAAATAAATGACACGGTTCAACAATGTTCTCGTCCGTGTGGCTCGTCCCGCGCGGCTCGGCTCACAAGCACGCTTGTCACAGTCACGCACACACGTACATGGTTCTCCCTCCGCGCCCGCTTGCAGACTGACTGACTGAACGCGGACCGGCGCGGCGCGGCCGCCGCAGCCGCAGCCGGCAGCCGGCTCTTGGAGGAGGCGAGGGGGGCGGCGCGGGGTGGGCGGGGGGCGGCGGCGCGGCGGGGAAGCGTGCGCACCTGGCGGAGGGAGCTCAAACTACAGGCCAGGCCGCCGCGCCTCGCCGCCGACAGATGGCGCTGCGATCGCGTCGGCCCGGTTTTTCGCCCTCCGCCCCGCGTCCCGCTGAAGGGGAGGCCCAGGCCGGCAGGCCGGAGCCGAGCCACCCCCGGCGACCCGTCAAAGGGGTTGACGGCGTGCTCGGCTCGGCTTGGCGTGCTGGAGGAACCGGTGGCGGCGAGCAGCGCATGCAAATTGTCGGTGCCGACCGCCAGAGACGGAGCGAGAGAGACAGGCTGCTCAGTCGGTCCCCTCGGCCTGTCTCTGTCCCGCCTTCCCTTCCGCCCTGATGCCGCACGCCGCACGCCGCAGGGCCGCGAACTGCATCCGCCGCCGCCCGCGCTCGGTCCGCCGAGCAGAGGCACCCCGTCGAGCCCCGTCCCTTCGGGGCACTTGGCGGCAGCCAGTGCACGGCTTGGGAGCGGGCGCGGCGGGCGCGCGCTGTCCGAGGGGGTGGCTCGCGTTCGGGGTGATGGCGGGCAGTGAGCGTGAACACAGCTGTGGTGGGGTTGGCCGTGGCCCGGTCGGCCCGGTCGCCCGGACGGAAGGGGAGGCGTGGCGGCGTGTCCAGGGCGGCACTGCACTGCCACGGCACTGCCACCGGCTCTACGGCGAGGAGGGCCGCGTGCTACCCGCTTCCCGCCCGTCGTCGTCGTCGTCCTGTTCGCGGCCGCGCGTGTCCTGCACGCGCTGCGCCGCGGTGTGGCTCCGCCGGCGCCGCGGTGTGGCTCCGCCGACGCCGCCTGCTCGGCGAGGTGCGCGACGGCGGAGGGCGGGGGAGGGAGGGCACACAAGGGCCGCCTTGTCCAGCAGCCGTGCGGCCCGCGAGGCGCGCGTCGCGTCGCTCTGGTGACTCGGTGACGCGACGCCCACGCCCCGCCCGCCTCGCCGTCGTGCTCAGAGCCTCAGAGAAAGAGAGAGACGCACACACGAGGCGTGCTTATGCAACTCGGGCTCATCCACCACGACCGGAGCCCGGAGCCCGCAGCCGAGCCGTGCGCGCGGCGTACAAATTATTTCTCCGGGTCACCGGAGCTCTGTAAGGAGGCTAAATAAATACGGGTCCCCCCCTCCCCCCACACACAGGCGCGGACCAAGCAGGGTGCGTTTTAAAAGGCGGCCTCTCTCCACGCGCATTCCACCAGTCCCCGCGAGCTGCGCGAGCATCCCCTTCCTCTTCCTCACCTTCCTGCTGGCAGGCTGCATCCCCTCCCCGCTGCGAGGCCCGCGCCGTCCCCGCCGTCCGCGCGCGCGTGGTGCCGATGTGTGCTTGCACCTGGCCCGTACCCTTGCCCCCCCCCCCCCCCAACAAGCTAGCCGTCGTCGCACCTGGAGCACGCCAGCGATCGCCTGTTGCTGCACCGGGCCTCTGCGGAGCCATTCCGAACAGCGCTTTCGTCGCTCTGTCCCTCTCGCACTCATGGCGCGTCCCGTGGAGGTGCGAGAGAGACGCTGTGTGGAGTCGGTCCATTGCGGCGGGCCTTTACTTTGCGCCAATTTCCGAGGGCCGGCGTCGCCGAGTGCAGCACAGTGCAGCGGCACGTGCAGGATGCATTGGGCGCCATCACCACGCCGCAAGTACGCCGCGCAGCCCGCCAAAGACGCGGGCATCACCACTTTTCCCGCCCCAACCTAATCAAAGTTGCGTTTTTCGATCGCATTCTTTAGGACTGTCCTTGGATTCAGATTTCACCTAGCGGGAGAAATAAATTTGTAAAATCCATCAAAAAGAAATGTCAAAAAATCTCGCTGTTCCCGCGCTGGGATTCGAACCCGGAGCCACCCGACGCCCACCAGGAAATGGCTCTTCCCATCCCTGCCTCGTGGAGGCAGTAGTGCGCTCGCTCCATTTTTCTTCCCCTTTACCGGCTATTAAGCCTGCCTGTCTTCATGTCTTCATCACGGTGACGCGGCGGGGCTAATCCCCCGCGACGGGAGGGCGGATGAGTCGCTCTGTCTCTCTCGCTCCAGGACGCACCGTCAGTGCGAGGGAGACAGAGCGACGAAGACGACTCTCGGAATCGGTCCGCAGCCGGCGCGGCCGCGGAGGGGAACTGCTTCGGGTACTGCCTGTCGGCGGGCTGGAGGAGCTCCAAGAGCTCCAGGAGGACCGTCCCGGAACGTCCCGGGCGGTACGCGGTACGCGACGCCAGGTTTTGTGTTTTTGCTCCACCTACCGCCACGCCACCGCCACGCCGCGCCAGAGGCTCTCGCCGCTCTCGCCTCGCAGCTGCCCCCTGTTGCTCCAGCCCAGCCGCTCCAGCCGCTCCAGCCGGGCTGGGCTCGTGGCAGGTGCGTGGCCGGCGGGGCCGTGTGGCCCGTGGCTGCCCGTGGCACACTGCATTGACAGCGGGGCAGCGGCCCGTGCCGTGCATCGGGGGGAAGGGGTAGGGGCGTCCTGAAGGGCGTCCTGGACACCCCGGCCGCGCCCTGGGCCCCAGAGCAGCCATGCACCGCAGGACGGCCCGCTGCAGAAAAAAAAGTGTGGTCACGCTAAATGTCTAAAGAGCGGTCTGTGGTTTGCGGTACGTCAAAGAAACGTCGCAAAAAAACCCTACAAATTTTTTCAGCACACTAATTATTTTTCGGTGAACGTGTAGAGCAGCGTTAGGCCCACGCACCGCCACCGCCACCTCGGCGCGCACGCCGCGCGCCTCGAACGAAACGACGAACACGATCGGCCTTTGTTTTTACCACCATCATTCTTCTCATTGAATGTTAGGAAACGACGAACAACGGCCAATCCAGCGGCCGGGCCCGCCGGGTCCGCCGGGTCTGCTGGGCGTCCAGGTCCGGGCGCGCATCGCGGCGCTGGTCATCGGCTGCCTCGTCCAGACCGGCCGGCCGGCCGACGACGTGAGCTCGATGGGGCGATGATTCCACGGTTTAATCACCCGGGCACGAAGCGCGCCGTTCCATCCGTTCCAGTGGCATGGCGCGGGGCGGGGCGGGGCGCGCGAGGAGAGCGGTGTGTTACCGGCGTATGCCGCTCGGGATTGTCTATGATTGTTGTTATTGTGTACGTTCCAGGATGCCCCACGAAAATATAGTGAGCCTGGCTGCAGTCATGACTCTAGATCGGTATCGGTGGCCGCCTGCACCGCAGCACCGCAGCGCTGTACAACTGCAGCCCCGGATTACGGCGCCTAATACGCGCGGATTACAACTTGCAACCCGCCCGGCCCCGGCCGCCCTGCCGCCCGCACTGCACTGACGGGCGCGCCTGCTGGCTTCGTCGCTCTGTCTCTCTCGCACCCCAGCGGGGCACCCACCCACGAGTGCGAGAGAGACAAGGCATGGCCATGCGGCCCTGCACTGGGGGATGGGGTTGTTGATTCGGCCCGTCCGTAACGCGCGTTCCTGGAACACGCCCCCGGCACGTGTGCCGCGTGGCGGTGCACTGTGTAGGTTACAGTGTGTTACAGTGTGGTCAGGGGCGGCCAGGGGCTCATGCGCAGGGCGGGGCGGGGCGGGGCCCATTGCACCGCCACTTTGAGCGCGAAGCCGCGTCTCCAGACGGCCACTGGCGGGCACTGGTTCGCGTCGCTGGTGGCGGTCTGTTCGGTCGAGTCGGCCACAGCACTCGGCTCACTTAGGCAACTCGACCCGCGGTCGGTCTGCTGTGCCAAAACACGCGCTGGCGTTCGTCCGTTCGCCAGGCCCTTGAGGCGCGCAGACAGCAGCCCTGCTGCGGCACTGCCAAGTGAGTATGTACTCGGGAGCTGCAGCAGGCGTCTCAAAACACCATTAGTGGAGGAAAAGGTTTGCCAGAACACACTCTACAAACTCGCACACTTGGAAAAAGGGAGCTGCTTACAAAATGCCATCAATTTGCGTTTTTTACGTGCATTCCTTCCGCGTTCTGAATGAAACCCCCACCCGACCCTCGCGCCCGTCATTAGAAAAGCAAACCTCGTCGAGGTCGATTTTTCACATTTCTGCGCGCCGTGATGAAGAAGAGCCTGCTCGGGGCTGCGCGCCAGCCAAAGGGTACCAAAGGGTGGCCTCTGATGAGCCTTCCCCTCCCAGCTTCCCACGCCCGGGGCGAGGCAGCAGGCCCGTCTCCGTCTCTCTCGCACTCCTGGGGCGTTTCGCGTAGGTGCGAGAGAGGCAGAGCGACGGTCGCGACGTCGTCCCCGACGGCCTCCATCACCTCGACGACGGAAGGGCGTCATGGTGAGGAAGGGCACCGCAAGCTGCAAGTGCAGTGGCAGCGCGCTGATGACTCCAACGCCCCCAACAAATCGCGAGCCAGGGCGACCCGAATTCGGACGGGAAACCTCGACGAACCTGAGACCACCCTCGCAGGCACGCCGCGCGCGCTCACGTGCCGGGCTGCCGCGGGCTGCACAGACACCCGCCAGAGCACGCGCACGCACGTGTGTTTACAGTGCAGCGTTTTACTGCTGCGGGGGCGGGCGGGGGCACTGCAGGGCTGGGTTGAGGTAGGCTGCCGGGGACGTGAACGCGCGGGGAGGTGGCACCGCGGACGCATTGGGCTTGGCCACCCCGTCCACGTTGCGCCTCGCGCCTCGCGAGCCTCGCGTGTCGAGGGGCCGTTGGCGCTGGAGTGCTGGAGCGCCGCTAGCGGCAGCCCCTGGAAGCGGGCTGGAAGGCGGGCTGCCCAATTTCCACCCCGAGAGAGAGCCGCCCCGCGCAACAAGCAGCGCCGCGGCCCCGCGCTCCTCGAGACCATCATGATTGCCGCTAACCTCCACGTCGGCATCCAGATTACCATCATTGCCGTGTCGCGTGCTCGCGGCTCGGCACGGCACGGCGCGGCTCGAGTGCGCGGAATTCGCAACCCGACAGGGTAGTCCTTCTGACAAGGTATGACAAATGTTGCGCGGGGGCGCACGCA